AAATATAAAAGAGCCCCCGATAAAGGCCAAGTTTAGTCTGAACTATCCGTCATGATCTTCATTTGATTTAAGATGTAAAAGTTTTCAGAGCCCATATTCAAAACTCTAAAAATATCCCTCTCTTTTAATCTGTGCGGCATCTGTCCTGGTCACTGGCCTTAGGCTCAGATGACCTGAATTATGTCTCTTTCATGCAGTCTTAGCTAAAAAAGAAGATCTGGTGTGAATAATTCAAACCCCATTCCCTTTCCCCTCTGCAGATTTCCGATGCCAAGCCGATCATCATTTCAGCACAGGCAAAGACATGCTATTCCTGTCCCCGATGAACGCTTCCTTCTTGGGAAAGTGACTTTGCGGGGTGCAGGTGTGCTGGCAGGAAGGGTTCAGGCCGGGACAGTGTGCCGTGCGAGAGCTGGACAGCTCTCTCTGGACATTTCCCTAGGAGCTTTGGATATCCTCCTCCTCCTCCTCCTAATCCCAGTTAGATGCACACCACTCAGATGCCCGGCCTTCCATCTTTCCCGCTCCTCTTTGGGGACCACTTTGTAGAGAGCTAGACTCACTCTGGCTCTCCTTTGGAGCTCCCCTCAGCTTCAGCTGATTAAAGATTTTTTTTTTTTTCCTTTTTGTCTTTTTTACTGACCGGTAACGGGATCGCAACCCTCGGTGTCACGCCCGCACTGGGGACCGGCAACGGGATCGCAACCTCGGTGTTGCGCCCACACCATGCTCAGCCAGTGAGCGGGAACCGGTCTCCACATGGGATCCGAACCCTCGGTGGGAGTGCCGCCATGCTCTCAAGCAGCGCACTCTCCAGTGTGCCACTGGGCCGGCCCCATGATTAAAGATTTTTTAAAGAGGTAAGACATGGAGGGAAACAAAATGAAATGAAACCAGGAAGAAACCTGCAGGAGCCACCGAACACATCTAAACTGCCTTCTCCACACCACCTGACTCAAACGGGAGCCCGGGCTTTCAAATTCCTACATGTGTTAGCCCAAGCAAGGTTTACAGCCCCTTCTTGGTTTAAACAATCAAGTGCTCATCAGTTCAGGGGCTGGAGGGCCCGATGTGGCTCACTCAGGATCTGCTGCTTCACCCATGTCCTGTCCTTGGTTGTCTCAGAGGGAGCAGGGGAGGCAAGAAAGAAGATTCTAGGCCGTGGGGCTTGTTGTTTGTTAGCCTGGGGGAGATGCCTGTCTCTGCAGTCCTGCGCCGGTGGCTGAGTGTGAGTGCATGCATGTGTACACGAGTGTGTACTTTCTCCTGACCTGTGTCAAGCTGTTGCCTCCCTGATGTGTCTGGTCAGTGACGTTGAGCTGGAGAGGTCACCAGTGGTGCGTGGGCTGAAGTGGACACAGGCAGATCTCTATGGAACAGCCAAGTGGAGCTGAGAAGGAAGACATCTCAGGCCTGCCTGTCACCAGCCCCTGTCCCCAGCCCTGCTGCAAGCCCCAGAGAGATGACAAACATCTCCCTGTTTGCTGACCTTCAGAGGGCCACAAGGGCGGCCAAGAGTTGCCCATTGAGCCTTCAGGCAAGCACAAGGTGCTGACCTTCACTAAGTGTCCACGTCTCCCCTGCACAGCTCTGGGTGCAGGGCTTGGTCCCCTCTGGGCAGACCATCCAGACTAAGCGGCAGTCGGGCTGTCACTGGGGAGGTTGGGGACATCATTTTTTATGGATCAGCCTGGATGGTTGGACTGATTTGCGAATGAACCATGTGAAGAGGGTGAGAGAAAGGGGCAGCTGTGACCAGTGGCCGGGACAGCAGAGTGCGGCCCGGTGCTAAGCCTTATGCTTTCCTTCCGGCCTCTGAGAATGCCAAGCGGGAGCGCTCGCACGATCAGACTGTTCTCCAAAAAAAGCAAATTAATTCCTGCTAATGCCTAGGTGACCCACACTGTCGCCCACCCAGTGTCCTTCAGCCTGGAAACTTTGGAGGGAGTATTGGATTACATGACTCTCGAGTGTTCCCTTCTAAACCGGGAATGCTCTGGCCCATGCATGCTGTTTCCTCACAACAGCAGCAGCAAGGAGGCACGCAGGTGCCCGAGGCTGCTGGAGTCCTACCACAACGCCCCTGGTCTCCTGCCCTGGGGCTCTGGGCTGGACCTTCAGGGAGCCCTCTCTCGTGTCCAACCAGATCTCCGAGTGCTGCTGCTCCGAGCCGGCCTCCCCAGAGATGGAGAGCAGCGCGCACCTCCTTTCTGCCTGGCTGCCTGTCCCTCTGATTCCTCTGCCTTTTGCCAGGCTTGGCCTCCCCAGGAGAAGCAGATTCTCGGAGGCGATTCCTGGAATTCATGGCCACCTCCAGCCCCTACTTGCTCTAACCTCTGAGCCCAGCTTCCTCATCTGTAAAGTAGGGGCGAATAACACCTCTGCTGGGGCAGTGTAGCATGGGATCAGAGCACAGGCCTGGGCCAGACTGCACGCCATTCCCTAGCAGCATATGCTGTAACATTCAAGTGCACCAGTGAGATGCCCTCATGCCTTTTCTTGTGTGCTCCCCCCGCGCCCCACGAGAGGACCTCTCTGGCTCTCTGTGCTCGCCGGCATGGCTGAGCCTGCTCCCTGGACGCTCCTCCTGTGTGACCCGGCTGGGCATGCAGTGACTCTCTCCAGGGCCTAAGAGTATGGTAAATTTTGTTTCCCTGCACCTCTCCAGTATCCCTTCTTGTGGCCGCACCTGACTATCACCTAAAAGAATCGTGTCACCTCTCTGTGCCCACCATTTCCTCCCCTGTCAAATACACAGAGTAAGGGTAAGCACCAGTGAGGGGTGGGTGAGGATTGGGTGAGTTAACACGCGTGTGTGCTGAGGACAGTGTGTGGCACAGAGCCTGGGTGGCTGTGACTCTGCAGGGCTGCTGGAGCGCAGATAGAAGTAAATGGCTCTCAATGAGCAGTGGCCATTGGTGGTACAGTCAGGCTCTGGGTGGAGTACAGGGGGCTGTTTCCCAGTGCTCAGGGGCCAGTGGCCTCTATAGAGGGGCTCTTTAGAACCAAGACAGATGGCCCTGAATCAGAAGGAAGGTTCCCTGAGTGAGGGCTTCTGCCTTCCTTCTTGGGTGGGGAGAGGTGAGTCCTGTCCTCCCAACAAGATGACCTGGTGATAGCCCGCCCGAGGCCCCACTGTAGCCTGGGGCCCTGCTGTACCTGGTGTAGCGTGAGGCCTGCTTGCTTTCTAAGGGGCGCAGAGCTGAGCAGGACTCACATGGGATTGCTGACACTGCAGAGAAGGGCCCAACAGCACTGGTGCCCATGCACCTCAGGCGACGGAAGGGCTCATCAGTGCCGCACAGGGACACCTCCCCCAGCCATGCTGCATGCCCGCTTCACTCAGTCACGCCCCCACAACTCCATCCAGCCATATTGGTTGCACCTACGGTGAGCGGCTGAGCTGAGGCCCCCAGCTGAGCGACTCACATGGCCCTGCTGAAAATATGCACATAGGCCACATGAGGGAGGTGGGTGGGGATGTGGCTTGCTCCAACAGGCACACGTCCCTGCTGCTGGAAGAGTCCCCTGTGGGACTTTGCCCCAGCCCCACATCACCATCCCCCCTGCTGGCACCCTAGCTCTGAGCTGTCCCTCAGAGTGGAATTAGGGAATTCTTCAAAACGGGGACAGGGAGTGGGGGAACTGTCCTGCTGAGCCTGGAGCTTCTATATCCAGGTTGCGGCTGGGAAAGTGGCTGCAGGGATGGCCCTGGGCACCCGCAGCACCCCCTGCTCTGCCTCCCACTCTCTGGCCTGCTGAGGGCAGAAGTGCAAAGTCTATGGTGGATCCTGGGGAGCCTGGGAAGGAGAGTGCAAGGGCCCTTCGAGGCTTCTTCCTGCTGCTTGATTCTTTTCAGGCTAAGCCTGATTTCTCTTCAAGACTTCGGTGGCTTCTGCCCCGAAAGTTCCTTGCTAAGCCCAGGTGCTTTTCAGCTTCCTTTGTCTTTTCCTCCTCTTCCATACTGGGCTTTGGCCCTCAGTAGTTTCAGGGTGAGGAGAGGTCCCCCAGGCGCCAGGGAGCCTGCAGCTGCCAGCGCATGCATGGAGTTAGGGAGTGGGGGTCGGCCTGAGTCCTGAGCTGGACTCCCAGCCTCTGGCCTCTGCAGGTTCCACCCTGGCCTCCTTTCTTGATGCTCTGAGCAGCTGTGGATACTCTTCCCAGCTTCCCAAGCAGAAGCCGGTGGGTACCTACAATACATGCCATGAAATACTCCTGCCCAAACTCACACCAGTTTAGCTCTGATCAAGCTTCTAGATCTAACTACCAGGAGAACACGTTAAACAACGTCTCAGGGTGCAATCAGAAAATTCAGGCTGGGAGAAAGTCTATAAGACAGATGACCTGGGTCCTTCAACAAATAAATTGCAAAAAAAAAAAAAAGAAGTTTATGGATCAATTGGGGAAGTCTGAAACTGTCTGGTTATTTCATGTTAAGGAACGATTGTGATTGTTTTTAGGTGTGATAATGGTAATGTTATGTTTTCTGAAAAAGGATCCCTAAGTCTTAGAGGTACGTACTGAAGCATTTACAGAAGACACGATACCTGCGATTGCTTCAGCACAGCCTTGGGGTGGGGCAGGGGACAGAGGGCAGGACGTGGGGGGATGTCGAGGAAGCAGGGTTGGCTATGAGAGCAGCAGTGCCGAAGCCTGGGTGACGGAACGTGAGCTTCACCGTAACACCCCATCCCTGCACGTCCTTGAAAATGACCATGACAAAGTCTAGAAGAGGATGAGGAAGAGGAGGCGGCGGCGGAGAAAGGAAGGGTGGGGAGGACAGGAAGGAGAAGGAAAAGAGAGGAGGAGGAAGGACGAGAGCAGGAGCAGCTCCGGGGCTGCCCTCCCGGCCTTGGGCTCAGGAGCCGCAGAACACGGCACACGCCAGAGCCGAGGGCCGCCGCCTGCCTGGCTGTCCCGTGGCTCGGCCCCTTCTCACTCAGGGCTGGGGCCACTCTCACTCGAGGGGGGAGCCGGCTGGGGGACGCGGGGGCACTCACCATGGACAGGCAGCTCTTCTGCTCCCGGACGATGGCGCCAAAGCCCAGGAAGCCGGTGGCCATGACGAGCGCGCCCGCGAAGATGAGGATGTGGGCAGAGGCGGCGAAGGTGCTGGAGGCCAGGACGCCGAGGTAGCCGCTCTTCTCCAGCAGCGTCCACACGCCCACGGCCGTGACGGTGACGCCGCCCGCCTGCGGGAGACCACGGGTCAGAGGGGCGTGACAGCTGCAGCGACCACGCGCTGCCACAGGCCAGGCACTGGTGACGCCTCATCCCACCGGCCCTCCAAGGAGCCTGTGCCAATGGTTGGGTTACCCCGTTACAGATGAGGAATCCAGGCCTAGAGGGGTTAGGGGACGTGTCCAAGGCCACTCATGCAAGCAGGTTGCAGAGCCAGAGTTTGAATGCAGGTGTGACTCCTGGTTCCCTGCTTCTGACTACAATGGCTGTGGTCCTTGTCATGAGACAGCGGACGGTGCCGCTGTGGGAAGGAGCTGCGGATCTGAGTCCCTTGGCCTCCCCAATTCCTGGCCACCCTGAGCTCTTCCCTGCTCAGGTTGCGCCTTCCCTCTATCCACATTTCCTTGGTGGGGGCACTTTTGAATGCAGCCCCCGTTTACTCCTTACACTTGCCCAACTGGGAAGCCCAACTGGGCCTCTT